CTTGTAAATATGGTGTGGGTCCCAGAGATTCTGGACTTTTGTCAAATATCTAATAAGTGCAATGTTGTTCCAGTAATGCATGTGGTAAAATGGGGATAAAATCAGATAAGGGACACCAAAGGGACAGGGTAGGTAGTAAATGAGCCATGTTTGAGAAGATCTGGTGAGAAATCCTGCTGGGCTTCACCACAAGAGCCCCTCCAAATATCTCTATACAACTCGCACTTAGCCAACAAAGTTTAAAAATCAGCCCTGTGTTACTAATCTAATTTATTAGGAATATCTTGTTTGAGACAAGAGACTCTTCTATTTAGACTCTGTAATGTGTTGTCTCCCCACTTTGGATCAAGTAGATCCGTAGACCAGACAAAAATAAAGAGCTTGGTGGCAGCTATCTACCCAGCACATATTGCCACGGCTGAAATTTCACATTCAAATGACGTTACAGTTAGGTAATAAATGCTAATGAAGCATATGCCTGTGACTGAATTAAAAAGAAAACAATGGTGTGTCGCAGAGAAACCGAAGTGTACTAAGAAAGTGATCTAATCTCCTTAGATCAGACAAGTGCTCCACTTCTGATTGTTGCCCCTTCAGGAGGTAAGGAATGTTGTATCATCAACATTGTGCTGAGTTGTCTGGGGCCAAGTATGCAATTGGTTAGAATTTCTAGGTGAGCAATGAAATCGCTAATCTACACCAGTGTTTTGCTGTTGTTTAATGAGTTTTCCAATGTCAAATAATGATCCTGTTACAAGCGTACAAAACCTGTCTTTGTTTCTAGCCAACTCCCTCTGAAATAATGGCTGACCAAGTAGCCTGAATGACCCAGTATGATGGCATGGGCAGCACAGTGGCTCAGTGGTTAGCACTGCTGCTTCACAGTTCCAGGGATCTGGGTTCAATTCCAGCCTCGGGTGACTGTCAGTGTGGAGTTTGCAGATTCTCCCTGTGTCCACGTGGGTTTCCTCCAGATGCTCCAGTTTCCTCCCACAGACCAAAGGTGTGCAGTTTAGTGGATTGGCCATGCTAAATTGCTGATAGTGTCTAAGGATGTGTATGCTAGGTGAATTAGCCATGGTAAATGCAAGGTTATGGGATAGGATTTGGGGGGGGTGGTTCTGGGTGGGATGCTTTTCAGAGGGTCAGTATGGACTCGATGGGCCAAATGTCCTGCTTCCGCACTCTGGGGATTCTATGACCTGGACTAAAAGCTTCACATTGGGAACGAGTGTGGGTTATTGAGGCAAATTAACAAATTGCTTCTTGTTTAAAGTCTTCAGATAAAGTAATTTTCATGAGTGATAATTTCTATTTTTACTTAATATTAATCATCATGTAAATCTAATTTGTTCAAAACTTCTACAAAAACCTAGAAACAGCCTGTGTTTGTTTTGTTACGAGTTGCCAACATTTTCTCCTTTGACTTCACATTTTTCTCCTCGTGTCGTATCTCGTGCCGCCATCTTTATTTTGAAGATTTGTCTCATTTGCAACCCAAATTGCTTTAAGGGTGCAAATGGTGAGAATGTAGGACTGAGCCAGTTTTCCATTTATTGTATTAAATATTGCTGATTCTAATTTAATAACTTAACCAAGAATTGAAGAAATGCAGTGCAAGGAGTGAAATTAAATGTTGATGGCAGTCGTCCGCAGCAGTACCACGATTACCTCGTTAGGAGTTAAGCACAGATTGATATGTGATGCCAAGTCTTAGATGATTATAGCAAGCGGTTAGGATTCATCTTTTATTTTCTCAGAAAAAGATTAGATGCATTTGAAATAGATCCTTAGGCAAAACAACTTTTTCTAAGACAAAAACACTGGAAAAGGTCTGCAATTATTTTTGCCAAATTCTTAAGCCAAAAATAATGGGTTGAATTCTATGAGCCACCCATAGGCTCGATGTGTAAACTGGGGCAATGTGCCATTGGTCCAGCCGTTCCTTCCACAGTTTTATGGGAGGAGGGAGTTTCTGATGAGTAACCGAACTGAAGGGCCCCATCCTGTCACTGCTCTGCTATTATATACAGTCCCAGTTAGCTCAATTGGCTGGATGACTGGTTTGTGATGCGGAGTGTGATGGCTATAACATGGGTTCAATTCTCACACCGGCTGAGGTTACGATGAAGGGCTCTCCTTCTCGACTTCGCCCCTCGCCTGAGGCGTAGTGACCCTCCAGTTAAACCACCACCAATCTTCTGTCTCCAATGAGAGAGTATCCCAATGAGAGTATGGTGACTTTCCCTTTCTTACAGATGGTGGAGGGCTCTTGTAACACAACGGTAGTGCTCCTGCCTCAGAGCCCAGAAGTCCCAGGTTCAAGTCCTGTCTGCTCCAGCGTTGTATTAGCACATGTCTAAACAGATTGATTAAAGCCATCTATAATGGATGGCAGGCAAGGCCAGCTCCCAGCATGCAGTCTGGCCTCTTTACTCCTGCTTGTGTCTGGTCATTGCAAATTTTTGTGGTACGTGAGGGCGAGGTTTCTTTCCTGAAGCTTTGAACACACTCACATGTGCACACTGGGTCCTGTCATCCTGGCCACAACAAGATCGTCAAATTACCTGAATGTCAAGGTGCGTTGCTGGACTCCATCTTGTTGTCCTATCTGCAGTACCAGAGGCGACCACTGCTCCTAGTTGGCGCTGCCATTGCACAGAGCTGTAACATATGAACAGCAGCTCAGAGTCAGGACTTCCTTTTAGAGATGGGCATAAATTTCATCTCGTTCTAATTAGAGGACAGAATGGCGCAGTGGTAGTGTCTTGACCCGTGGACCAGGAGGCCTGCGTTCAAGTCCTACCTGCTCCAGAGGTATGTAATAACATCTCTGAACAGGTTGATTAGAAAAATAGTTTAATAAAAAAAATTAAAGGATGCACAAAAATATCCAAGTGTGGCGAAACGGAGGTAGGCTCGCCCACTCAGTTTAATGTATATTCTCCTCAGTTGATGTTGTATAGTGATTAGAGAAGGACGCTACAGATTTGAATCAAATCAGCTAACAGGCAATGATGAAATAGCCTGCTGCTTATGTTGGAATTTGAAAATGTCTCCTCGAGCATGGTATTCTTTGATCATGTAGTCAGGAGCTTTTTATATAACGCCTGTCTGCGAAAATAGACAAAATGTTGAGGAATATTGTAAAGCAACACTTTAACCTTTTTATCAAGGCACCTGATCCAGAGGAATAAGTAATGGGGCGATGCAATGAAACCAAATAAACCAATTAAATTCTCATCAGTCAGGCACAGTTAAAGTTTCTCATGACTGCTGAATCCTGGCTCTAATTTGACCAGTTTCTGGAGGTGAGTCGTGCTGCCAAGACCCAAATGCACAGCATATTGTAAACCACGGGACAAGCAACATTGCCACAAGTCCATAGTTGAATGATGTTTGATTGGCAGTAGCACAAGCTGTGCTTTTGCACGACTGGAAAACCTGTCTTTTATTCTTACCTCCCACTGAATCATTTGAAAATGAGACCTGACATTACCTTGGGATGAACAAAGGCTTAGAGTCTGTGCTTCTTAAATAGCTCTATTTTGTCACTTGCTTTTTCAGGATATTGCAAGGGAATGTAGGGAGAGATGGTGGCGTAGTGGACTCGTAATCCAGATGCTCAGGCTAATACTATGGATGACATGGGTTCGATTCTGACCCAGGCAGCTGGTGGTATTTATATTCAGTGAACAAAACTAGAAAATAAAGCTAGTCTCGGTCATGGTAACCATGGTAGCTATTACCGATTGCTGTAAAAGCCCACTGGTTCCCTGATGTCCTTTTGGGAAGGAAATATGCTGTCTGTATCCGGTCTGGCCTATGTGTGACTCCTGACTCACAGCCATGTCTTTGACTGTTAAATGCCCCGTGACATGTCTGAACAGGCTATTCAGTTCAAGATCAATTAAAGATGGCCTACAAATGCTGGCAATATCCACATTCCCTGAAAGAATAAAGAAAGCAAAAGTCAAGCAATATAATTTAGTTTATCACTCATTTTCTATAACTACAGATAATCGGTTTAGTCAAAGCGTTTTCACAAATGATGGTTAATGCAAGGAGAGACAGTCCCAAGTGAGTTGGTTGAACATATCTCCAGAGCTGAAAAACGACAAAACAATACAAGCTATTAGAGCATTGATATGCTTGTTACCTGTCATTATTGTAGATAATAATCAATATATTGATAATAAGCCTAATGGACATTCACTAGTCTGGAAGTGTCACTTTTGGTTTCTTGCGGAAGCATGGTCTACAGTGATATAATGTGATTTGATTTGATTTATTGTCATGTGTACCGAAGTACAGTGAAAAGCTTTGTTTGCAAGTAGTACAGGCAGATCAGATTAAACAAGGACAGACAGATCAAAGGGTGAAAAAGTCTTGAATAGAGTGAGGCCTACGGGTTACACTTAACAGGACATGAGAGGCAAGATCAACATTATTTAGAGTTAGAGAGTCCATTCATTAATAATGGCCAGGAAGAAGCTGTTCTTGAACCTGCTGGTGCGTGAGTTCAAACTTCTGTATCTTTTGCCTGACTGAAGAGGTTGCAGGAGGTCATTACTGGGGTGGGATGGGATGGGGCTTTGATGTTGGCAGCAATGAGAGGTGTAAATGGAGTGCATGAATGGGAGGTTGGCTTCCATGATGGTCTGGGCTCTGCACACAACCTTCTGTAGTTTCTTACGGTCCTGGGCAGACCAGTTACCATAACAGGCCGTAATGCACCTGGACAGTATGCTTTCTAGGGTGCATCCGTAAAAGTTGGTCAAGGTCCTAATGGATATGCCAAATTTCCTGCATGTGTTTGCATGTTTTTCAAGTTTTGTCCCAGTTCTACAAATTTGGGTTAAATTGACAAGATTGACCAAGCCAGTTTCACAATGGAAGCAAATACTCTAGTTGCAAGTTAGTAGTCCTCTTCTTTAAGTGAAATACTGATGTAATATTTTGAAATCATTATTAATTCGGTTTAATTATTTGATTTCCAGGAGCTGACTAGCTGTGGGTGGAATAAAAAAGACAAGCATATCCTGGCACCAAATATTGTTGCTTTTACAAGACGGTTTAATCAGGTAGGTTCTGCATTAGGAATGGAATATCTTGTAGTTTGCTTGTTGGTTTGCTCTTCACTTTTTCATTAGAAATTAGGCCGAAAGCTAAGGGAGTCTGAGATGGTCCGAGTCCTTGTTTTGTAAACTGATTTCCATTTCACATGTACTCGTATGAATTACCTGTTTCTGTAATGTATTGGTTGATCATTTGAATGAAATGATGGCATTTCCCTAGTACCAACACCATTTCAATCTAAATGTTTGAATTTTTTTTGACGTACAGAGATTTTGAATTCCTATTAAATTTCTGATGTATTTTTCTGTTACGTGTAATAGTGATGAGGGCACAGCCCCAAAATTGACCTTGTTGTTCTGGGGCAAATTAATACAAACAATGTATATTTATTCTTAACTTAGCACTGAGTGTATTTTACTGATGTTTGGACCGGTGTGGGGATTGGAGGAAGACCCATACCAAAGTGTTATAGCTGACGTGGAGCCATGCATGGTATTAATTCAACATGGTGATGAGCAACATTTAACATTGTAAGAGAGGTTGGATATTGTAAACTGAAATTGACACTGTCGAAATTAAGCATTCCCTGAACAATTTCAACCATATCACTAATTTGTCAGTGGTAAATTATGAAATATCAAAAGAATTTTAGTCCCCACAAACAGATAGGTTTGGGTGAGGTGGGGATTAACACATTGCCGATCTGAATGGCGCCTTGTGCTGGCCCATTTCTGGTAGGAAAGTGGGCAGGTGACCATCCACCGCAATCCAAGGCAGTTGGTTGACACTTCACATAAAATAAAGACAAGGATTCCAATTTCATTTGTATTCTCCGTTAGAATATAACCATAGATAACTGGGTTTCTTGAGCCCAGCAACTATAATCAGACAGGGAATACTGAATCGAGTGTTCCTTTCCACTGACCTGCTAGGTCCAAGATATCTGCCTGGGCAGCCCTCAGCCCATCAGCTGTCTCCGATGAAACTGCTAATCCTACCTTCTCGCCTCCAACCTCCTCCACCCAACCATCTCTCTTCGAATGGGGAACTTCACATGTATGCTGCAAGGTTAAACTCTGTAATGTGCACTGGAGCTTTGGTTTCCAGGTTCAGGCAAGTTCAAATCCAGCCCAGTTGTGTGAATCAGATTATCACCATAAAGAGGAAAAGGAAACATATAGCTGGGAAACAACGCAGTCACCCTTCATCGGCAACACCATGCGTGACTATTGATACCTCATTTAATGTCTAATGGAATTTAAAAACACCAATTCAGGTTGATGATTCCATAGTATGGGAAACTGCAAATATATTTCAGCGAAATTGAACATGCACGGTGTTAATGACATTGACGGTTCAGCCAAAATCCCCTAATGGAATTGCTTTCTGTCAATGAAAGTTACCAGATGTTTCTGAACTAGGTATGCTAATTATCTTTGGCGTACAGTTTGTCACATCAGTTTCCCATGAACGCAATTTTTAATCCTTTTGAAAATATGTTACATAGAAAAAAAGCTGTTAATTAATTAAGTGGGCTAAATGTACATTTTTGTAAGCAGAGCTTAATATAGTCAAATTATATTCAATCTGTACTCTATCAGAGATGGTATAATCAATCCAAATCTCTTCTGCAGAGGTACAGATAATTGAAGAGTATTGATTTCTGCAGTCAGAACATAAGCAAACCAAAATAGAAACAAAATGAGAACTGATGAAGAGTCACCAGACTCAAAATGTTAAATGTGCTTTCTTCCCACCGATGCTGCCAGATCTGCTGAGTTTCGCCAGCAGTTTCTATCTTTGTTTCAGATCTCCAGCATCGCAGTTCTTTATTTTACCCAACCAAGTAAGTGTATGTTAGTATTGATTTAACATTATATCTGTGCAAATATTGATTAAATTTTCAGTTGTGTGGCAGTTTCAAAGTCATATTTCCTTCAATGTTGGGCAAACACATATGATTGTGTAAACCCTCCTGTTTTAGACCGTTCCAGCAATCTCCTCCCATTCTTCACACTTTAAGTTCAAGCGTATTCTACAGCATGCTGTGCACTCTCTCACAACCACTGCTAGTATTATTAGAACATAAAACATAGAACAGTACAGCACAGGAACAGGCCCTTCAGCCCACAATGTTGTGCCAAACGTGACACCAAATTAAACTAATCCCTTCTGCCTGTCCTTGGTTCATATCCCTCCATTCCTTATAGATTCATGTGCTTATCTAAAAATCCTTTAAATGTCCACATTGTATCTGCCTCCACCACCATTCCAGCAGTGCATTCCTACCACTCTGTGTGTCAAAAAAACTTGCCCCTCACATCTCCTTTCAACGTTCCCTCTCTCACCTTAAATGCATGCCCCTTAGTTTCAGATTTTTCAACTCTGGGGAAAAGATTCTGACCGTCAACCTACCTATGCATCTCATAATTTTATAGATTTCTATCAAGTCTCCCCTCGGCCTCCGCTGCGTCAGAGAAAGCACCTCGAGTTTTTCTAGCCTCCCCTTATCGCGCATACCCTCTAGTCCAGGCAGCATCCTGGTAAACCTCTTCTGCACGCTCTCCAAAGCCTTCACATCCTTCCTGTAATGTGGTGACCAGAAGTGAATGCAGCACCCTAAGTGTGGCCTAACCAAAGCTGCAACATGACATCCTAACTTTTGTACTCAATTCCCCGACCAATAAAGGCAAGCATACCATACACCTTTTTTACTACCCTATCAACTTGCATGGCCACTTTCGGGGGAGCTATGGACGTGAATCCCAAAATCCCTCTGCACATCTGTGCTCCGATCGGGGTCCTGCCAATTACCGTATTAAGATTTGATCTCTCAAAGTGCAGCACTTCACCCTTACCCAGATTGAAATCCATCTGCCATTTCTCCGTCCATATCTGCAACTGATCTATATCCCACAGACAACTATCCTTTGACAACCTTCTACACTATCCACAACTCCACTGATCTTTGTATTATTTGCAAACTTACTAATCCCACCCATCTACATTTTCATCCAAGTCATTTATACATCTCACAAACAGCAGAGGTCCCGGGACAGATCCCTGTGGAACACCACGAGTCATAGACATCCAGTCCGAAAACTTTCACCACTCCCCTCTGCCTTCTATGGGCAAGCCCATGCTAAATCCATGTGGCTAAGTCACCATGGATCCCATGCATCTTAACCTACTTTATGAGTACTACATAGAGGATTTACCTGTGACTCAGAAGGGATTTTTTGCAACAGAGCTCACTGCAACCCCAGTTCAGATATATCCAAATTTCACGGTGAAACTTTCTGTATTTACCCACAGGTCAGCTTCTGGATTGTTCGAGAGATCCTCACTGCTCAGACTTTGAAAATAAGAGCAGAAATATTGAGCCATTTTATAAAACTAGCTAAGGTAAGAAATTTGTTGCTGATCTGCTTCGATAATTTAGCATGTTTAAAAGTTATTTCTATTCAAAGTAGCACTTTTCTTCTTATAGAGTCATAGAGTTACACAGCACAGAAACAGACCCTTCGGTCCAACCAGTCCATGCTGAACATAATCCCAAACGAAACTAGTCTCACCTGCCTGCTCCTGGCCCATATCACTCCAAACCTTTCCTATTTCATGCAGTTTTACAACATTTAAAAGACATTTTAATTTGTACCCACATTCTCCATTTCCTCAGGAAGTTCATTCCAAACGTGAACCATACTCTATGTAAAAAAACAAAAAATTGCCCCTCATGTCTTTGGTAAATCTCTCTCCTCTCAGAAATGTGACCCTAAACTTGTAATCCCCTATCCTAGGGAAAAGACACCTACCAATATCCCGATCTACACTCCATTTTTGTCATTACATTTTTCATATATTTTTGCTTGGGTATTTTCATGAATTGTACTCCAACCGATTTGGAAATAAAATCCACAAGGTGCCAATATGATAAAATAACTCTCAAATTACAGTATGAAATGATGTGAAATTGAACATTGAGAGCCAATTTTATTTATTTATATCAAAAGCTCTACCCTTGCCTTTGACTCTATTACTTTCACAGCTGCTCACACACACATAGCAATGCAGGGGGGAGGGTTGGGTGCCCTGTTTGACCCCATTTTCAGCTTCAACCCTATATCCTGTCCATCACTGAGACCACTTACTTCTACCACATCTACATTACCTGGTTCCTAACCGCACAGAGAGTCAGGAGGCAGAGGAGAGTATGGTGGCCATGACTAAGGAGAAGGAGCTGGGGTAGCTGAAAGGTCTGGAGGTGGATAAAATACCCAGGCCAGATGGACCATACCCGGAGTTCTGACGGACATAGCTGAGGAGATTGTAGAGGTGTTGGTGATCTTTCAGCAATCACTGGGGTCAGCGAGCATTCCAGAGGATTGGAAAATGGTTACTGTACCACCCCTGTTTGAGAAGGGAGGAAGGCAGAAGATAGGAAACTATACGGTGGTTAGCTTGAACTCAGTCATTGGTAAGATTTTAGAGTCCATTATTAAGCATGAGTTTGTGGAGTACTTGGAAGTGCACATTAAAATAGGGTTGAGTCATCACGACTTTGTTAACATATCTGTTAGAAGTCTTTGAGGAGGTAATGAGTAAGTTAGACAAAGGAGAGCCAATGGACACGGTCTATTTGGATTCCCAGAAGGCCTTTGATAAGGTGTTACACAGGAAGCTGCTAAACAAGATAAGAGCCCATGGTGTTAGGGACAAGGTACTGGCATGGATAGAAGACTGGCTGACTGGCAGAATGAAGAGAGTGGGATCGAGGAGTCTTTTTCAGGATGGCAGCCTAATGGAGTTCTGCAGGGGTCAGTGTTGGGACCACAACTGTCCATGTTTTGCATTAATGATCTGGACAAAGGAACTGAGGGCATTGTTGCTTAGTTTGCACATAATACAAAGATAGATGGAGTGACGAGAAGAGTTGAGGCAGTAGGGAGGCTGCAGAAAAAATTGGACAGGCTAGTAGAGTGGACAAAAAGTGACAGATGGAATGCTATGTGGGAAAAAGTGAGGTTATGCACTTTTTGGTAGGAAGAATAGAGGCAAGTACTCTTTTTAAATGGGGAAATGCTTTGGAAATCTGAAGCGCGAAGGGACTTGGTCTTAGTTCAGGATTCTCTTAAGGTTAACGTACAGTTTGAGTCAGCAGTTAGGAAGGCAAATGTAATATTAGCAATCATTTCGAGAGGGATAGAATACAAGAGCAGAAATGTACTGCTGAGGCTGTTTAAGACTGTGGTCAGACTGCATTTGTAATATTGTGAGCAGTTTTGGGCCCTGTACATAAGGAAGGATGTGTGGGCCTTGAAAGGGGTCTAGAAGAGGTTTCCAAGAATGAGCCAGGGGATGAACGGTCATATGAGAAGCAGTTGAGGGTTGAAACTTGCTGAATACGGAGAGGCTTGGACAGCATGGCCATGGAGGGGATGTTTCCCCGAGTAGGGGAGACTAGGACTTGAGGGCACGGCCTCAAGTGAAGGGACAACCCTCTGGAACTGAGATAAGGAGGAATTTCTTCAGCCAGAGAGTATTGAATCTCTGAAACTCATTGCTGCAGAAGGCTGTGGAGGCCAAGTCTTTGAGCATGTTGAACTCTGAGATAGATATGCTCTTGACTGGTAAGGGGATCATAGATAATGGGAGAAGGCAGGAGAATGGGTTTCAGAAACATCAGCAATGATTGAATGGTGGTGGAGAATTATGGGCTGAATGGCCTAATTCTGCTCCTACATCTTATGGTCTTATCCTTTATTCTATACAGTTGCCAACATGTCCAAAATCTCATCACTGATATATTTTGTTCTGATGATCTATCACTCATGTCCTGGTATTCTGTTTCCTGCCTTGTAATGCAGTGAATTCCAAATCTTCCCTCTTGGTTACAAATCTTCTACCTCTGCAATCCCTTCAGTTTTTTAATCCCAGCCTAAACTCTTCAGCCCTCAATACTAGGTGTCCTATTTACTTTCAATCCCTCTGCTCTGATAGCTTTGGTCCTAATCTTTGTGTAATCTTAAGTGTAATTTTACCAGGATGTACATTTTAAATTTAAACTCTTTTTATTTTAAACTTTTTAAATTTAACTTTTTAAATCTAAGCATTTCCAACACTCCTTTACGTTGCTGTATCTCTGTCTTCAATGGTTCCCGAAAGCTTAGATATCACAATTGTATTATCTCTGCTGATGCTCCTTAATGTCTTTTTCTTCTCTGTGAGGAATCCAAGATTTGTTGCTTTAAATCAAATATATAAACATTAGAAGATGTAGTTGAAATTCTTGAAGATGATTCCCAATATCAGTTTGCATTTTACAGGATGAACTCTTTCAGTTCTAGACTTTTAATTTAAGTTAGGAAAAGCTCTGAATAGGAAGGGTTTAGAGGGATATGGGCCAAATGCTGACAAATGGGACTAGTTTTATGTAGGATATCAGGTCAGCACGGATGAGTCGGACCGAAGGGCCTGATTCCGTGCTGTGTGTCTCGATGACTCTATGACTTGATTAGAATTTGCCTTGGGCTTCAACAACGACTCAACAAGTTTGGAAGCAAATAGCTCAGCCATATAGACCAGCAGGGCTCAAGCCTTAATCTCCATGGCTTTGTCAGGGGTGTCAATTTCACCTGAGGTAGTATACAGGAACAGAGTTTGTGTGCTTGGGTTGGGGCCAGATTCTCATTCACTCAAGTGACACCTTCACAAGAGGAGAAACTGAAAACCGGGTGAATTAAAAAGAAATATTTTAAACACGTCATTTTAACTGCTGCCCATGAAGGCTGCTGGCCAAATACCCTCAAATCACTTGGTTGCAGTTATAAGAGATAGCTTTCTGGTTTCACAAGGTTTATGTTTTAAAGCGAAATAGAAATACTCCATTTCTCTGCCTGTTTAAATATGTTATTAAACTTCCAATTAAAAAACAGTGCAGAATATTTTTAATAACTTAATGGTGATATATACCAAATCCTCTTTATCCACAGGGGATAGGGACATGGACTTCCTTTGGGCTTAAAAAAAAGACCCATGGATAATGTTCCTATGTAACTCTCGCATTTACCATGAAAGATCAGACTAGATGAGTCATTGCGGGAAATAAAATGAGGTCTGGGGCTAGATGATGAATGCACAGATTGTGATTTAGTTGATAACGAGGAGTGACTATCTATTTTGTGTTTCCAAGGGCTCAACATTTTGCAAAAGATATCACTTTAAGAACATTTTGTGTAGAAGCAGCAAGTTAAGAAGATAACTGATTTGAATCTGAGGCATCTGATTTAACTATTTTGATTTGCTGTGAAGATGTTGAAGCATCAGTTGTAATTTTTTTTCCTCCCTCTTTTCCAGAAACTGCTCGAATTAAACAACCTTCACTCTCTCATGGCTGTGGTCTCAGGTCTTCAAAGTGCACCAATATTCAGGCTCTCAAAAACCTGGGCAGTAAGTTTGATTGTGCTACTTTCGTGCTACTCTCTGCAATATGCACAAGTTAATCAGATTGTACGCTTTTGATATTTTCAAACCAAACATTGGAAAATTTTTGCTAATAGTTTTGGCGCTGATTGCTCAACTTTCTTCTCGAAAAGAACCGTGACACATATTCTGTGTCTATTTTACTCCTATGAATGTAACTTATTAGTGAAATAATTAGTATTGAAGAATTGCAGAAACATTAATTTCTCAAAGAATGGGAAATGTATATTTCAGTTAGATGCAATCAGGATAGCTCTTTAATTATGTAAACTCTTCCAGCGTTGTACTGTTTCATAGCCCAATGTCCACGTATGTGGGAAAGGTTGGTCTCCATTGGTAAGAAAGAAATAACAGGACCTTTAGAAAAGCTCAATGCAATCAAACACAGTCAAGCCAACGTGGTTTTGTGCAAGAGAAATCATGGTTTTACAATTCTGCTAGAGTTCACTTGAGGATATAACAAGAAGAATTAATGAAGGGGAACTGGTAGTGGATTTGGATTTCCAGAAGGCATTCGATAAGGTGTCATGTAAATGGTGTTGCACAAGGTAGGAGCTCATGGGATCGGGGGTAATGTACTAGCGTGGATTGACGTTGATCAACACACAGAAGACGGAGTTGGGATTAATTGGTCTTTTTCAGGTTGGAAAGATTCAACTAGTAGAGTGCTACGTGGGTCAGTCGTAAGCTTTGAATTGTTTATTATCTATATTAATGGTTTGAAGGAAGGGCAAAGTATAATGTATTCAAATTTGCTGCTGATGCAAAAATAGGTGGGAGGACATCTGTGAGGAATGTCTGAGTGGATATGGATAGGTTGAGCGATTGGGCAAAAACTTGTTAGGAAGAATTAAATGTAGGAGACTATGAGGTCATGCACTTTGGTAGGAAGAATTAAGAGAGACACTATTTGTTAGATGGAGAACAACTCCAAAAAAGTGCAGCATAGAAGGATCTAGATATTTTTGTGCATTAAGCTAAAAGAAAATTTAGCATGCAGGGTTGACTTATCATGAATGGCTAAACAGGTAAAGCCTTTATTCATGAGATATCAAGATGTAGAGCTGGATGAACACAGCAGGCCAAGCAGCATCAGAGGAACAGGAAGGCTGACGTTTCAGACCTAGACCCTTCTTCAGAAATCACCATTTCTGAAGAAGGGTCTAGGCCCGAAACGTCAG